ATAAACATAAATGCTTACACCTTCTGTATCTACTGTTTACTTTATATAAACGCTCCACCCGCGAGACTCTAAACGAAGATCTCTCTTGAGCGAACAGTTAGTTCTGTGTCGTCTCTCGTAGCGAATACACCTCGCCTTATAATTGTCCAGAATAAAGTATTTCGTAAGTGAACAGTTGTCGATTTACTTCGATATTACACCTTACGTGGCTTCGGCTCGTAACAGCACTCGGAGGTCTCGTGGTGATTACTCGCGACTTCGATTTACTCCCGCAGTTGCACACACATAGTGCCTGTCTTTTGTTACTCAAATGAACGGATAACAATCTCAACCGCACGCGCGATGTGATTAACGAAATATGCAGCATTTTGGTATTTATAAAGATAAATCAAGTTATAAATAACTTTCGATACAGATTAAATACTTATTTGACACCCCGACCAGCCCCAAACCAGTAACAACATTTCATCAATCATAATTAACGACGAAATTATAAAATCTATTTGCGTACGATTTAGATGGCTTTTCTGTTAAACAGAACAATAACACATAAAATATTCGATTTTATCTTTTAACTTTGGATATTGCTCATTACGATATGACAAGTAATCGCTTACAACGAAAAATTCTTATAATTATAATAAATATCTGAACTCTGTACATCTCTTAATAAAAGAAACTATAGGCATTTTTCTACAGTAACTTTCTTCCTGATACTTCAAAAAGATGGATTGACGAGATAAAACTTCAATAGAAAAAAATACTAGAATAAAAGTTACGGCGAGCATTTACACTTCTAGCGGTTCTCTATGCGAGTTTCCTTCCGCGAGCGCGCGCAGAAGGATACGTTAAAGACCGTCGTAGAAATCAAAGCCTTAAAGTTCCAAGGATTTCAACGTTCAGGAAGTCCAACGGCTCCTGGTGAACTTCGCGAGTTGCTACCAGGAAAACTGGTATAGACTCGCCGCTAGAAAACCGCTAAGAACGTACAATGAACGCTAAATCTCGATAACGATTCTCGATAACAACGCGATTCGCT